TCTTCACAATAAACAACTTGTTTCTTAATCTCATATGTCGTTTATCTACTGGAAGCGAAATATAGATACAGTGCAAGGATTTCAGGTATTTTTTCCTTAGTAATAAGATGGTTTGCCATTTCAAACAGCGTGAGTTTAGATTTATCTCTAAATGGCTCAATTTTACTACAGTCCAAGATATAGTGTTGGAGTGTGTGTCCCTGTCTTTATCCACACACTTTACACTTTACTTCATCTAAATCCCTATACAAGCCCAACTGCCAGAGATACTTGTAGCCAAGTTATATACGAGCTGTGGCAACATCTGTTAGTCTGCTGACTTTGTTACTTGCCCCATACACATATTTTACTTTTCAAATTCATCCAGTTGTTCTTGTCTAAGGACACTTTTAAGGGTCCTATTTGATAACTCAAGATTCCGTTCAACAGTCTTTATTTACTGCAGCCTTAGCAAGGGCGTCAACTTTATCACGTTCCTGCAGGCCAATGTGAGAAGGAATCCACAACCTTGTTATATTTACCATCTTATTTAGTATACTTATATGTCTGTCTGGCTTCCAAGACAAGCACGTTATTACTTGTTTACAAACTATTTATTGCTCGTAGTGAGGAAAGGGAGTCAGAAGTAATTAAGCTGTCTACTTCAGTGTTGTCAATAATTTCGTGTGCTACCAGTATCGCTACCAACTCGGCCTGCATTGTGGACGCCCAGTTACTATGATATTTCTTAGAATTGTGCTGCCATCGGGCTGATGAGCAATAACAGCACTTCCTGCCCTCCCTGTAGCTGTATTGAGTGATCCGTCAGTGTATATGGTCTGTGCCATGTTGTTTATAGTTAGTATATTGTGAATGTGTTCTAGGGTCTAGAATGTGTTCTAGGGGCCTGACAGCTAGGTGGACAGCCCTCTGGATTTGTAGTCCTGAGCTTCCGGGTTCGATTCCCAGTGGAGGCGGAAACAAATGAGCAGAGTTTCTTTCAACATGATGGCCCTGTTCACCTAGCAGTAAATAGATACCTGGGAGTTAGACAGCTGCTACTGGCAGCTTCCTGGGGGTGTGTAACAAAAAGGAGGCCTGGTCGAGGACCGGGCCGCAGGGACGCTAAGCCTCCAAATCCTCTCAAGATAGGCTGCTTAATTTAACAGCAAGCTGAGCATGAGGGTTGTTTGGGATTAGTTTCTTGGGTTTCTTAGTTTCTAGTTTCTGATGCCTGCATCAGGACATCCTGATGCAGGCATCAGGATGTCCAAAGGTACTATCTGCCAGGGTGGAAGGAAGTGCTGTACTCTTTCATCTGAACATATCGTGCAGTCCCATCATTTTAATATTGGTGGCTTTTCTTTGAATCAATTTAGACTCGCTGGTTCCATTACATATGTGTTATAACAGTTCAACTGACACAATGTTGCTTTTGTTATCACGCAGAAGCTTTAGTCACATCATAAGATTAATTTCAAATATTCTACCTTGAGCGCTAGGCCGCTCATCTTCCCACCTCCCTTGCCTTTCCCTCTCCTCTTTTCCTGCCCTCACATTCCTGCCTCTCACTGGTGTACA